AGTCTGACCTCTGACCCCAGTAACCACAGCGCTGGATGGAAGCTGAGGAAGGGGAGGAGTTAGGTGGCTTCACGCTGCTCCTCCTGCTCTGACCTCATCCGCTGCCAGTCTCCACCTGCTTCATCTCCACCACCTCCACCTGTGTGACCACAGGCTGCTGCTCCTCCGCCGCCTGCTCTGTGACTCACACTGAACTGTATCTGTAAGTGCGTGCTGGACCAATAAAGTTGTAATGATTGTTCTGTGTGTGGGGGCACGCCGCTGTGAGGTCATGGCGACACTATCAGCTGATCACACAAACACTGATTACAGGCTCAGTTCTGCTGAAAAGATCCACGGCGCCGTGACGCACGCTGAGGCAGCGGCCATGACAGGGTGACGTTTGTTTAGCAGCCTTTCTTTGTTCCCACGCTCCCAGATCTCACACACACACACACACACACAGGTGAACAGAGGCCCTGAGCACAGCTGATGTGAGGCTAACCTGGCGCTCACCTGAGCGATTGTGGCTACACCTGGTGAGACAGCTGAGTGGAGCTACACCTGCACAGTGGTTGGTGCCTTTGTGGTGGAGGTCCTGAATCATAAGTCTTAAATAATCAGGCCCCATCTTATCTTAATGACCTTGTAGTACCATATCACCCTATTAGAGCACTTCGCTCCCGCTCTGCAGGCCTACTTGTTGTTCCTAGAGTATTTAAAGTAGAATGGGAGGCAGAGCCTTCAGTTTTCAGGCCCCTCTTCTGTGGAACCAGCTTCCAGTTTGGATTCAGGAGACAGACACTATCTCTACTTTCAAGATTAGGCTTCAAACTTTCCTTTTTGCTAAAGCATATAGTTAGGGCTGGACCAGGTGACCCTGAATCCTCCCTTAGTGATGCTGCAACAGTCGTCGGCTGTTAAAGGTCAGTTTTTCCTCCCCACTGTCACCAAGTGCTCGCTCTGCGTGCTCAGCTTTCTTTGCATTATCGTCTACTTCAGGTAACTGTGGCCACATAAATAAAGCTGAATTGAAGCACCGGAGGTGAAACGAGCTGAAAAGCAGGAGCGCCGTGGAGTCAGCCGACGGTTTCAGCCTGAATCAAACGTGTGAATAAAGTTTGTCAGATTGTTTAAAGCAGCACGTTTTTCCTCGGGCGCCGGGTCACTTCCTGCTCTACGTGACCTTCTGTACTACCCTCTGTGATCACGTTTACAGATGCTAACACACTTTTTCTTGTCCCGCGTGAGGACACAGCTCAGCCTTCAACACCGTTAGCAGCTCTGACTGATCCACACAGAGGACCTGATCTAACGAGCCGTCGCCTCCTCCTGCAGCTCTGCACCGATTGGCCGAGACCAGAGCGCCTGAGAGCTGCACCTGCACACCTGAGACCACCTGGTCCCTGCAGCAGGAGGAGGTGCAGAGCTGCAGCAGGAGGCGCCCTCGTGGGGGGGCGGGTCGATAAACCACGTGCAGTGTTCTGCTTACTGTAGTCGAGCGGCCCGGCGGGGTCCGACCGCCCCCTGGTCATGTGACGCTCCTCCTCCTCGCTGCAGGAGGCGCGGCGGCCCGTCCTCCTCTGCAGCAGCTCCCGCCTCCTCCTGCCGGACACAGGAAGCAGCTGCACGTGCAGCACGCCGCAGGGCTCTGACCGCCGCCTCGGCTTCGTCCCGTCCGCCTGGCCTCGTTCCTCCGCCATTAACCATGACGTGGACTTCCTCCTCTCTCTCCCTCTGCCCGGCTCCGCCCTCCTCCTGTCTCTCCTGACCTC